AAATCGATAAATTTATACATTTATAAATTGCTGCTAAAAGGCAACAATGATACGTATAAACCTGCTTGTCCAAACGCAATTTTATTCATTTAATTCTATCGCTAAACAACCTCGCATAATTAACTCGAAAGTTAGTAGATCCTCTGCGCGAGTGAGTGTGGCTGAACGAGCATTGTTGGCGAGCGATGTAAGGTGACCGAAACTGATAAAGAAAGAAGTCGAACTACCGTATTCCAAATTAGTTTCGCGATAACCCGATCGCCCGGAATGATTTTCGCCTATCGATAATTTCTGATCAGCTATGCCAGCACCAGGTACGAGCACCGCTGAATCAACAAAGTTAGGATCCCAAGCGAGCACACCCAGCGCCAAGAGCGACGGCGTTATCGCCGTCAGAGAGTATTGGTGACCCTAGGAGATTTTATCGGGGCAACAGTCCCACGGTAGTCTATCTCGAGTGAGTTTTACGGAGGGGGAGGGGGGGGGGGACGTTTCTATGTGCAGCAATTTCGAAAAACGGATGGAGAGGGGAGAGAGAGTGGAGGAACATAACTCCCGATGGGATAGGGTCGTAGCGGAGAAACTCGACGATTCCGATGGCGGCCCTCTCTTCATCGACGCCGGAATGCAAAGCGGTGTATACCGATCGACTTTTCGAGAGCTCGAGATAACGGACGAGTCAACGGACGAGTCTTAGAATGACGTTGCGGGATTTAGGCGGCCGCCTGTTAGGCAGGTGCTGATTTGGGGAGGATCGTGGTGTGGCAGTGATTCCGGGGCGAGATCATGCCCGTGCAACCGAGATGCGGAGTTCATTAAAATGCACACACTATGCCCGTTGTTCTTTGATTCGCCGTGAAATCGCTCTGACGGAACGAAGTTAAGTGCATGCGCAAACATATCGATTGTAAATCATTCAAAAATCTCGCGGTTATCCATTATCAGAAAATTATATAATCAGTGCTAAATCATTTTTAACTATAATAAATTTCGAAGGGAAATAAAAGATCCGAGTGATATTACATTTCCATCGTTCTATCGAAACTGCGGCGAACAAAAAGCGCAATAAAACTTATGTATCTCTCGTATTTGTCAAAATCACAGGAAGGATACAAGGATACCTTAAAAAAAACTTGAAAATAATTAGTGGAAAAATAACGATTTTTAAATATTCATATGCTTTGGGAATCTCATGGAGACTAACCCAAACCCTTTTAACATTCAATGGGGCCCGGGGACCATCCCCCCATAAATTCATCATGACCTTCGGTTTTTGTATCTCGCGCTTCTCTTGACTCCTTTTTCCTCGCCGAACTCCTACGCACGCCTCCTTTTAATAGAGAAGCGGCATAAATTCGCTTTGATATACGTCCGGGGCGGTAGCACTCGTACAGGAAAATATCGCACGTACGGCTCGATCCATCACAGAAGTTCGTTCTGCGCGCCACGCGCGATCGTCCGAGTGGCGAGCACGGTTCGCGAGTGGGAAGATCGCGCGCTTCGGCTATTAATAATCGTAAACGAGAAGTTCGCGTGTTTTTGCCGGACAAGCTCGCGCGACTTAATTTTTTAACGACCAGCCTCACCGATCCGAGAGCAGGGCGTGATGAGGAGCGCGCGGCGGTAGACGAGGGGGAGAAGAGGATGCCGGAGAGACGCGGACGAGAGCAAAAAGAAAAAAAAAAATACGCGAAACGATAATCCGATGCGCATACTTGACAATAAACGCGGGAGAAGAAGAGAGCTTTAATAATATTCGCTCCAAGGGCGCGCAGCGGGACGACGGTGCTGAAATCGGTCCGTAATTAAAAGCCACGTTACCTTTATATCGTCGTTCCCCCCGCGCTATCTCCCCCCCCCCCCTCCACGTACCCTCGCTGACTGGCTCGTAGGTTTTTCTCGGCCGGTCGTCTTCGCGCCGCGGACCGACTTCTCCTCGCGAGGCGAGGCGAGGTTATTCGGCCTCATTTAATAAGTAAGAACGACACGGTAGCCGAGCGCGCATCGACGCGAGCACGCCCACTAAATTGTTAACGGCGTCGGCTCGCGGCGATCTCCCGGGATCGCGATGCAAGGTTTTTATGCAAATCGACCTGTGTATATCGGCACGTCCGCGAATCGATAACGGACACTCAATAAAGTCGTCTCTTCCCTTCCTAATGTGCGAGTTCTCGTTCTTCGCGGCGTTCTTCAAGTTTCCTCTTCGTTTCCTTGTTTTTACTTCTGTTGCTCGAATAATCGTAATTCCCCGGGAAAGATTGGTTATTGTCGTATCAATGTTCGCTTAACGCGTCTACTTGACTATGTATTTCGCTATATAGCACATGTAATTGAGAGACGATAGGCACTCTCATCTTTCTCGCTTTTAAAGTCGAAGACCGTCGAAAATCGCAAGAGTGCAAGCCTCAATGTTCGAGAATAATCCTGAAATTAAATGTTCGAGATTTGATAAAAAGGTTCGAGGATGCAGCTTTCTGCATGAGAGAATTAATAACTGAAAATTAAGACTTCGCTCGCGAACAAATTTCCGTTCAAAATTATTATATTTAAGTTATCGGTATTATCTAAGATATCGCGCATGTTCTTCGGGAATTAAATTGATCTTAGGACATTAAATATAAATTGCGTCTTTCTCCGTCTTTCTTTTCTCCTCCCTTTCTCGGGCGCTCTCATTTTTTTGTTTGTTCTTTTCATCGCTTTGGCGATCGAGAGACCGACCGCGTACCTGTCGTGAGACACCTGCTCCGCGAGAGGCGAAACGCAATTAAATTGTTTATCCGATCGTAATGAGGCGGTAATCGCGACACTTAAATGCGCCGTTAGGGCTTTCGGTGCCGATCGAGAGAGTCATTAACGATACCACGGCGTATGCGGCTGGACTTTCGGAGTTTCGGAGTTTCGCGTCGCGGATTTTTCGGGGGGGGGGGACCGTCCGAAAAACACGGCGCATTAATTGCAGGAGTTACGAGCGCCGGCGTTCTGAAATATGAGCTAATTAATCGCGAAACGATCTCGCGCGGGAGATAGGTGCCTCTTCAGACCGGGAGTTTTCGTGAAAGTGGCATCCCAGAGGCCCAGCTGCGATCACGTGCAAATTGGAAGAGGCGTGACGAGAGTCCTGCTTGGCTTAACGCGCGCCGCGTTCCTTAATATATTTCTGAGGATCGGTGGGCGTTGCGCGGGCACCAGACGGTTTTTCGTAAAATATGGTACCGAATCCGAGACCCCGCGACCGAAGGCTCCTGCCTTCTCTCTCGGGCTAATCAATTTTTAAACGCAAGATTGCGACGAGACCTGCTCAAGTCGAACGTGAAACCTTTGATCTTGACGTAGTTTATAACAATATCAGATGTTAATGTCAATATCTTGTTTTTTCTCGGCGTCAATATCGTTTCGAATTATTATACGTGAAATTAATTTATTGTCCATCCTAATTTTTTGTAACGCTCCGTTTCTCGCTATATCTTTTTTTATCATTTTTTTTGTGGCTCTAAATCATTTTATATACGTATAAATCATTTTTATACGTATTCATGTTTTCTGCAGTCCGAATGTATACTCTAGGATCTTTGAATTAATAAATCTTGAAGATCTAAATTAATAAATATTATTAATAATTCTTAATGTCCTTAAATCATCAAGATCAAAAGATTTGATTATCTTGCTGAAATATAATAAATTATGTATACAACAAAAAAGAAAGTAAAAAAAGAAAGAAAAACGAAATGTTCTTTCACAAATTTTTTTTATGCAAATTCGATGACAGGCGAACAACGTTGATAATCGATTAATCGTAGCCATTGGTTAACAGCCGTGATGTCAGACCATTATAAAGATGGTCTCGCGATGACGGCGGCGTTGAATAAAAAGAATATACATTCGCATAAATATATATATATATATATATATATATATATATATATATTTTTTTTTTTTTTCTGTCATGTGTGTAAACGCGACGAGGAGAGAAAGAGAGAAGGAATGCACAAGCAGGCAGGTGCGTCGTCATTCATGCAGATAGATGATCGCGGATAATTCGGAATCGGCCGCGTGCGCGCGTCCATTTCGGCGTCGATCTTACTCACTCGGCGTTTAACGTTGTTGTAAATTTCCGCTTCGAACGCAAGAGATCTAAGCGATAATTTAGTCGGCGCGGCGCGCGATTAAGGTGCCGACGTTCTAATGGGATGTAATGATCGTCCGTGACGCTACGATCGAGAGGAGCCGCGTGTCGATAGGTTGGATCCTCTCGCGATACGAAACGCGATGCGAGAAGCAGGCCGGATGATCGTGCAAAAACTCGTCCCGGAAATATAAAATAGGCGGAAGACTAGTTGAAAACGAGAACACATATAATATAAGAGAGAGATAAAAAGAGAGAAATATAAAAAGAGAAGCACCTTCGACACTTCAACAGCGACTTGAAGTTGTCGGTCGATAATGTTGCCCCCCCCCTCTCTTTATCTGGCTAATTTCGTTCGGAGCATGTTCGAGTTTCGAGGGCAATTAATCCGTTCGGATTCGGGGATGATTCGCGTGAGAAGAGATCGAGGAAATCGTCGGCCGGATGACGTATGCGCTGACACTCTAATCGCATTTTAATTAACCCCTTCCAGTAGGACGTCGGCGCCGTGCCGACACGGGAGTTATAGATATTTCATTCGAAAATATAGGTTTTAATTTAGCGGCCGCTCGATCAACGTCCGGCCGTTATAAATGAACGCTATGATTGCTCGTTACACCGCTATGCAGAAAAGCGTTTGTCGGGACCGGACGGTTTCAAACTCCTGGCGAGGCGAGACGGAACGGCGCAGATAGATTAGCTGTTAGCCAGCCGAGGCATATTTTAATCGAGTTTTGAATTATTATTCGATCGGCTACCGATACGACGCGAAAAGTCGCCAATTTTCTTAAACAGAAAATATCAACTATCTATTTTCAATTTTCAATTCAGAATATCCAAGAAAAATATTACAATATTTTCGTGTCTTTGAACTTACCGATCAAAGTCGGTGAGTCTTGAAGAATCTCTAAATCCCTTGGCGAACGGATTACTATCAATCTTCAGTCTCGTTATCTGCAAGCATTGTTATCTTATTAAATTTGTCATTTTTTTTTTTCAAAACACAGCGCGATGCTTTATCATCACATAAAATTGTAACAAATAATGAAAAAAAAATATACTGTAAAAAATATACTGCTCAACGTGACCAATTAAAGATCCTTCCTTTTTAGAAAACGTCATGAAAAAAATTCAAAGCCTCAAGAGCTTCTTCCCAATGTCAAGAGTCATGGCCTCAATTTCGCGGTGCAAATACCCACCGGTATCTTTGAATCGTCCGCTTGTCAAGACTTAACGCTACATTGTATAATCGACTGTTATTTGACGGGACGTCTGGACTTACCAGCTGATTCTGATACGCCGTGACGGCGGTAAAAATGGCCTCCGGAAAGATAAACGTCTTGTGCTCCTCCTTCTGGAGGTCGGTGATGAGCAAGCTGCTGTCGTTGGTGTGTCGACAGCGGACCAAGTGTATCCTGGGCTGATACCTGTGCATCGAGTTCAGCACGATCTGCAATAACAGGAAGATCTGCCGTTCGATTATCGCTCCTCTCAGCGGGATTAAAGGCGAAAAATTGATTTCGCGCCTCCTCTTAATGAATTCCGTGAACAGGATTGCGCGTACGGGTCGCATCGCGATATCCCTAATAACAATAAAATACGATTATCGCCGCGATCAGCGACGATGGTTCGCATAAACGCGCGCCTTAAGTCGCCGATTATCGTAAGTTACCAGGTAATTATTTGGCGTATGTGTCTCGGAACTTAATTGCGAATTAACATATTTCGCATTCGAGAAATGGGGGATGCCGGCTCCAGTTATCGCGAGTAGATTATCAGCGGAAAGTAGGATGCCTCTATCTCATTCGTCTGACTTTTACGTCTCTAGAAATGGGTCACAGCGGTCCACGGTGTAATCTTCCTAATGGATATGAGAGAAAGAGAAAGAATAAATACAGAAGCCGAGAAAACTTATATAATGACGTAGCAACGTGGACGTATAGTCGAATTTTAAGCCGATTCACTCGGCTCAGCGAAAATTCGTTTCGAGCTAAATTTCGACCGCAAAACTCCACTCGTAATTAAGCGAGGGCAATCATCTTGTTATTTATAATGTAATAAAACCTGAACAGAATTTCTTAATTTTACTCGATATCGAGCAATCGAGTTTCGAGACTCGCTCAGACTTTGATAAAAACGGATTCGAGCATCTCGTTGTTGCGCGGAATTTTTCTCGAATAGCTCGGAGCTGTCACTTGGAAGTCGCGCAGATAGGTGGGTTAAAGTTTCAAGCGGGAATCCCACTTTCGCGGAGAAACGCTCTGTCGCGTAGATAGATACCGTGGATAGCGCGCGGCGCTACGGCCGGGGCGAAGTTCCGTATCGATTTCCTGTCCGGAACAATGTGGCGCGACGAAACAAATTCCCCGCGACGGTATCATGTAACGCGCGAGCAACCGCGCGCGCATCGCGACCCATGTCTGCCTCCGCCTTGCCGTTTTCAGGAGGCAATCTGCACGATGAAACATACGAAGTGATCGGGATTAGGGGATGGTTCGCATTAAAATTAACT